TTTATAAAACGTCATGCTGTAGGAGTGCTGTTGATGTTGTTGTTCAGCACTTGCATGATCTAGTTGTATGTTGCAAGAGATCGGAAACTGTAGGAGATTGGAGATCGTCCAGGATGCGATATAATGAGTCATTAGTTTAGAGCGTGGTCAACGAGAAGCACAAGCTAGAGGGGAAAAAGTCACTGAAGAGACCGACCGGCCACCAAGCGGCTGATGCCGCCTTCATACCAAACTCCCGTTTCTCCGACATCGTCAGATATCTATGACCCCCTCAGGTTATCTTAGCAATAAACCGTTCATGCAGTATATTTTGTTCCTCGAATAAATGACACTATCCCTGTGTCGTCTACCATCAAGTAAACCGCTTTAACCGCGCCATACTAGTACCAGCCGAATGGTTTCGATCCACGGGAGCAAGGTAGGTCCGGTTCAATTTCCGAGCGTTACTCTTGTGGTTTCCCATTGGAAACAATAGTGGCTGGTAGCCAAAGGGGGAAACCGCGTTGCAGGCGTTTTTGTCTCTTTACAGCATTTGAAGTTTTGGTGTGATCTGAAGCGCTAACATCCCACGAAAACTCAAGATATTTAGGTAAATTTTACTCGGTCCGCTGTACAACTAGGGTCTTCCTATTTTCGAAATGAAAGCCATAACTTTTCGAACGAAAGGTAGTGTTAGAGTTAGTAGAGTATTATTAAGGAGTCAGACCTCGACATAGTCAAACAAAGAAAAAAGAGGAAAACTCAGCAGCCCCTGTTTTGTGCAAGCCTAGGCTAAAGAATATAGTTGAGATGACGAAGATGATGAAAAATGTAAGAAGAAAGTGGATTTACCTGCAGGGACAGAAGCGCCGAGCTGCGACCCCTTTTTGGCATAATTGTTGTTGTCCATGATCATTTGAGATGGAGAGGGGCATCGGCGTTCACCTATCATTTTATTTGAAAGGCGCGCAGAGTAGTGAAGTTGGGGTATGAGAAGCGTTTTCCGTATTTTCGAGGTTCCGGTTCAAAGCCCACGTATTGGTTCGCATTTTCCTTTTTTTTCTCAGCAGTTTGATGTAGACCTCGGCATAGTTGCTATCGAGTAAGCTATATGTTTCTCATCAAGTGCAGCCTCGAATGCAAGTTATTTAATCAATCTAGCTCTAGCGTGAGCCGGCCTGATCGCAAGCCTGATAACGCATGCCATCCTCGCAATGCTCGCCAGCGCAGGCCGCCAGCTTCAGTACGGCGAGCCAATCTTATTGCGTTTTCTAATATACATTGCTGGACAAAATTATAGGTCCACTCTAAAAAAATGCCATAACTCACTCCGTTGTACAATGAAATGTTCCAAAATTTGTCACAGCCGTGTGTTTACCGGCCTACTATCAGTCAAGAAAATGGATCTCGTTTTCGTTTTGTAATTCTAGAAAAAATCAAAAATTTTGAAAAAAGCGGGCTTGAAGGCTGGTCAAATATAGGTCCACTGGAGTTTTTACTAATTGAAGCACTTCCTATCTTCCAAATTTTCTTTAGGTAGCTACACATCCAAAAGTGTTAAACAGCTGCTTTAATGAGCTGTATCATACCTCCAAAAAGAATTGATTATCTGCTTTTTTTGCCTTGAAAATGTTTTCACATGTATTTCGTTCTAGAAATCTGCGTTAAGTGAGAAATTCTCCAGTTTCTCAGCTAGATCGGAAACGACAGGGTTTCATCTACCTTCTGGATTCTTTTTGACGTGAGCATTGACAAAAACTCCGACTTTTTGTTGTAGAAGCAAATCCAAGAAGAAGAAGCAAAAAGAAGCAAAATTTTTTTTGCAGACCAAAATAAATTTTCAAAAAATTTCAAAGATTATTTCAATCAATCACAAGTATAACAAATCTTTTGCACGTCTTTATAGCTCATTTAAGTAACTTTCAAAATTTCGCGAACCATTCTCGGTGGGGGGCCGCCCTCGGTACACCACTGCTGCAATGTGCTGCCATTAGCGGCAAATAAACGTAGTTTTGCAATCAGCGCGTCGAATCACCACTACGAGTAGATAAGGCAAATTTTTACTGTACTTTTACAGCACACCAATATGCCACTGGCAGGAAATCAAGTGTTTCAATAGCACAATGTCCAGTTTATCCATACTTTGAACAAATTCTGAAAACTCACCTATCGCATACCCATGGGATCCATGGAGCTGATCTGAATGTGGCCTTGAATTTAGAATTCATCTATTACAAGATGTATGAGTATTTCACAAATCACGAACGGTATTGTGTGTGTTTGAGGTGTTTCCATGCAAAAAACGTCGAGGGCCGAGAAGATCCTGTTATAGGGGACGATGCACGAGTGGACGGTCACACCGACTTGAGATCTGCCCGGTGGCTACCTTAATGCCCTTCAAATTGACTACCATAGCTCCCCCAATAGAACCGTCGGCAATCCGCCTACTCAATTCTTGATACTCTATTTGTTCACCCCGTGGGGGTGTGGGCCGATCCCTGCAGCAGTGCAACGCTGGGCCGACCCGTGATGAGGTGCGAGCAAGCCCGCAACTTCATCCGGTTTCAAAAATCAAATAACCTTAACGAGACTCATTCGAGACTCTATCGAAGGTTAATTCGATAAGAACAGAAACTAAACTTTGATCTTAGCCAAAAGGCCGAGAAGCGATACCTGCCATGGCTCTCACTAGCGCCACCTCAGCCAGTGAGTCGGACTCGTCGCCGGTCAGCTAGCGCTCACTATCTCACCTGAGGAGAGCCGAGACAGGTGAACACACCTGTGCGAGCGAAAAGGGAGTCATACCTAAATTTTACCTTAGTTTCTCGCAGCTATTCGAGTACGAAAGCTCTAGAATTCATTTCAGAGTTCTTGGGACATCTCGAGAAGAATATCGTTCAACAATTACTAGTGCATGTTTCAAAGAATGTATTAGGTTGTTCCAAGAGCTACTATTTATAGATTACTTCGCAACATTTTTGAAAAATATTGCATAGGATCAATTTGCTTGCTTGAAATCTATTGGAGTAAGGAAATATAGTATCTAAACGTAAAGTGCGTGCTTTCCTTTAGAAAAAGGTTGCAGTGATGAAAGCAAAAAAGATAGCGCTAGCAACATCTAAACATAAGTTTGCGACCTCCTCTTCCCAAGTAAACAAGAATCATGCAGATTGAGTGTGCACAAGTTGGGATTTGAGAAAAATAAATCAAAACCGACTCCGTTTCACTTCTTTCCTCAGATAACTTTTCTCAGAGACTTTTGCTTACAGTATGTCTAACTAGAAAGAAAAGGTTATAAAATCTATGTTTGTGACTAGGACAGCGAGGCAAATCTACATTATGCCTTCATTTTCGCTGGCACAGGTGTGCTCACCTGTCTCGGCTCTCCTCAGGTGAGACAGTGAGCGCTAGCTGACCCGCAATGAGTCCGACTCACTGGCTGAGGTGGCGCTAGTGAGAGCAAGGCCAGGTATCGCTTCTCGGCCTTTTGGCTAAGATCAAAGTTTAGTTTCTGTTCTTATCGAATTAACCTTCGATAGAGTCTCGAATGAGTCTCGTTAAGGTTATTTGATTTTTGGAACCGGATGAGGTTGCGGGCTTGCTCGCACCTCATCACGGGTCGGCCCAGCGTTGCACTGCTGCAGGGATCGGCCCACACCCCCACGGGGTGAACAAGAACGAGGACCCTGTGCTCAGCGAAAATAAGCATGGATGAATTGCGAGAATACTGAAGGTAGCATCCAGGCAGATCTGAAGCGAGTGTGCGGACGTCTGGTGAGACGTCCTTCTCTCTGAAAAATTGTCAGCTTGACTCGCTTTGACGAGCACCCATCCCGGCTCTTTAGAAACAGCCTCAAACGAGTTTTCTGACGAGTTCACATTTCTGGGTTCCATATTTGTAATCAGAGCTATGGAAAGGCCTGAATAAGGCAAAAAAAATGGAACTAGAATTTGTCTGGACACTGCCAAACTCGCGGAGTTATTGAAGATCAAGGCTTACCTGAAAGGGTTCGCGAAAAAACTGAATGATAAAACAAAAATTGTCAGAACTTCCATAGACCGATGGCCCCGTCGTCAGTAAGTTTTGTTTTTGTTTTGGCTTTGTGATCTCTTCTCAAATGATGTAAGAAGTGTCTGTGTCGAATTCCAGGGAAATATGTGATATTTAAATTTCTTTATCACTGTTTGATTTTCATGACAAAATATCTAACCGCTTGATAGAATACTACATTTTTGTACATATTAGAAAGTATGAGTGTAAGATGAATCAGTTGTTTCCGTAAAGAGTCTCAATTAATCTTCTGGATTTTCAAGCAGAAATTTTCAAGGGGGAAATAGCAATTCAACCGTTCAACCGGCAAGAAATTTGACGGGCTGGAGAGAATACTTGCACCCATTAATACTGGAAAGAAGAAGGGAAGCTTCAAATACAACTTGGAATGCTTATCAATTATTACTTGTAAGATGTTTAACTTAATTTTCAAGAGATCGTAAAGTGCATCCAAAAATCATCAGATAGCGGGAAGCGGAGCGGGTCCCGAAGCGAGCGCCTGAGCGCACCTTTGAGATTAGTAGTCCACTATTCATATCCTAGTGTGACTTGATCGAATGATCCGCAACTGACTTATTGATTTTGAGTTTCGAAAACTCGATTAAAACCATGCCTCGAGTCGCGTGAATGTCCTGATCAGGTGGTTGTATGATCAGGAATTACCATACGATTTCGTGAATCGCTCGAGATACTAAATAAAGTTCCTGATAGGGGTAGTATTCATCAGTCTCTCGATATGTAATTGATTGTCTAGCGAAAAGATGTATGCCACTAGACTACTCATCAGAAGCGGTAATTTTCAACCTCCCAGTCTCTGATCGCGCGCCGTTTTACCGCCATAAACAGGCGTCCGATCGAGCGACAGCGCCCGACCCGTGATTTATCAAAGTTTCGAGCGCATCGATCGGGCAGCGCAGCGCCCGCTCTGCAGCCGAGATTGGGATCTGCATTTCATTCACGCGCCCCATCGTGGTCACTTCAGCTCATCCTCACTGTTTTAGTTTTCTGATCGTTCGCTCTCCCTCTATGAGTCCAGCGTTAGTGACAAACCCATTAGTTTACGCTCCACATTTTGATTGAGAGCTGTTTAACAGACGAAAGGTAATTCTGCTTAGGTAACCATTCGATCACACTTTTGAAACTATCCCCAACAATAAGCATTAATTACATGAGTGCACTGTAAAGATTACATCACATAGGAACTTTCGGTTTCACTTATCTGCCATCTTACATGTGCTAATTATACTAATTTGGTAATTCATTTCCATACATCTCCCAATGTCTCGATAAAAAAGGAAATGATTTGGCACCTGTACAATCGCTACATATGTAAGAAGAAGAGCTAACAATAAGACATCTTCTGTAGAAAACTCTGTGCTTCTAACAAAAATAAGGTTTTAAACATTTGGTACAATTCATATGGGCACATTTTTTCAGAGATTTAGCTCTCCCTGCAGAACCTAAGAAAAACAGCATTAATTCTTAATTTCTGACTAAACTTTGACAATGAGATCATTAGACTTGTATACAAGAGCGAAACCATAGCAGCTATAGTCGAGGAGTCGAAAGAAGTCAGCAAAGGCATCTATCACATTCATGCAAACTATTTACCTTTGGGTCAGCAAGTGTACTTGGTTTGCGTCAGCACGTCTCGCTGGCGTGCTGGCACGCTCAATTTCCTTTCCCAATCAAGCGGCCCGATCAAGAACCTAGCATATACTCGTATACTTGTACTGGAGCACTGTGCACAACAGTGTATCAATAAATAAATAAATAAATATGCCTGTATACAAAGCCCTTGAATTTTGTTGGGAATACTCTGCTACAGCGAGCCTTCCATTTTCCTTCCGCCCAACCTTTCTGTGGTTTTTGTAAAACCTCAAGAAATGAAACTTCTTGGAGAATGCATATCATTCTTCTAAGTGATCGTTAGATCAGCCATATTTAATGTTAATATATACACATCACTGTCATTATTGAGTCATTTGAGTAAATCAGTACCAAATATTTCATGATCATGAGGTGTGATTGAGATTGGCAGGCTTTGTATTTACCAATCATGGTGTAAACTCAAGATTATACGTGATATGATTGATCCTTGCAGGAACTAGCAGCAAAACTAAACAGCTTGTACATTTTGTCGTTTGGAGAGGAGACATGAAAGTAAAGGTGAGTTCCTCTTCTCTTTTTTCAAATGTTAATATTTTGACATCAGCCGCCGCGTGCTCCAATCATGACAAACCAAGAACTGTGCATGATAAGCGAATTCTATGTAAGGAATTATAATGTTTTCCATGGAGCACTACCCGGCTCCAGTAAGCAGCCCACAGTGAAGGTATGTGCTAGAAGCATTGTAGGATTCAGAGTAACCTATTCTATATTTTAGGAAAAGAGAGAGAAGTTGGAAGAGCTTAGCCGAAATTTAGTCGCGTCCGGTTATCCAGAGAGAACGGTCAACCAGTTAGATCAGAGGATTCGTGATACTTTGAAAAACGCAAGGAAATATGCTGCTTTTGAGGTGAAGAATATGTTTGGTTTCAGTGTCGTAAAAATTATAGCTACGACTTTGGCCATGCTTTATTCGTGTTACCGATGTTGCTCGAGTTACTAGTGTTACCCATGTTATCGGTGTTACCAGTGTTATCGAGTTACTAGTGTTACCAGTGTTACTCGTGTTACTGATGTTACCCGTGTTACTTGTTACTGAAATATATCTTGCTTCTAGAGATCAGAACACAGTGAAACCGATGGCGGAGTCCCGACCAAGCTGATTCCCGCCCATATTGACATTATCTTGAAAGAACTTGGAGACAAGCTGCGAGTGAAGGCATCCTCTACTCCCTCAGAATTTGGTGGTTACGAAGGGGAAGAATCCGTCATGGTAGGTACCCTCTGATTCAACTGACTTGGCGGCTGGAAGGCGGGACTTCGTGACATAATAAAAGCTAGGTAATGATCAAAGAGCACGCGCGCGGGAGGGACGCAGAGTGCGTCGCGGGCGCGAGCGACCTTAATTAGGTCACAGAGCCCGGCTTTTCAGCCACCAAGCCAGATGAATCAAAGGTATGTTTGTAATGGGCTAATCCTTGTGGATGTTTATTCAGAGAGTTTCCTCATCGACACATGATGCGTATCAAAAGGCCTTGTCCGATAGTGAAAATGTCAGAAAGAGAACTTCGACAAGCAATTCGTAAGTTATTGAGTACTAAAACAAGAAAGGTACTCCTCTTTAAGCGATTTTTGCGAAGAACCTATCAAAAGAGAGAAGGAAGAGTCTTCCTTTGATTGCGAAGAGCTGCTTTTACATGACGAATTGTAAGTCTGTTTACACTTAATTAACTATCTCATTGCCAATTCTGAATTCCTTTCGTTTAGCGAGCCATATTTACCTATACATGAGGATGAAGATGAGGAAGAGGCTACATGTTCGCAGTAAGTTGTCGCATTCTAAGACCCGTGTGCGATCCGATTCTCTCAGGAAAGAAATGGAGACGGAGTATTGGAAATGGAAAATAAAAAACGAACAGTTGAAGTCTGATTTACTAGAGATTCAAGTGCAAAACGCCCGCATGGAAGGGGAGAAGTTGCAGTTTCAACTTGAGAACGAAAGGAAGCGTAATTATTGGTGAGCGCACTTTTGCGGTATTTTGATGTTTTAGTGGTCCAAGATTTCTCTGGAAGGGGGGGGGGGACTTACTTTGGATGGGAGACGGTCAAGAGGCGCGATTTCTCTGGCTGTCACCAACTTAAAACCCCAGTATTATGCTATGCGAGTCTTCAAAAAATACCAGATAAAGTGCATTGGCTTACTATTTGCCTGAGGTAAACACTGAGTTTGATGGCTTTTGCTGGAAAACGGACCGAAATTTTTCCAATTTTGTTCTTATCTGCATTTTTATGGGTTTTGACTTTTAAAATTGCTGTCTTGAATTGATTCTAAGATAGCAAGTTTAAGCAACTTATGCAACTATCTGGTATATCTTCTTCTAAAGTCTGAATAATTTTAGAAAGTTATAAAACACTTATTATGTGCTGGAAAACGGACCGAAATTTTTGACCGATTTGGTATCCATCTGGCAATAAAAATCGCGCTTCTTGACATTCACCCACTTCGGATAAAGAAATGGGTAAGACCTTTGAGTTGTTTTCGGTACTTCCACCTTCAAACTTTCGAAAAAAAAGGGGACATGGTGGAAGAGCTTTTCCCAGGCTTGATTTGCTAAATTCATGTTAAACACCACTTGATTCAAGAGGTTGGCGGCTGAGGCGACCGCTCGCACCCGCGACGCAATCTGCGTCTCTCTCGCGAACGTGCTCTGTGACATTCTCTAGCCTTAACACGTTTCGGACCGCGAAATCGCGCGCGGCGAAAAAGAGTGCACTTTCGGCCGTTAGCCAGCAAAGGAACCTTATTTCGTAGACTGTGGACTACATCTGTAATCAGCATGCCAGATAAGCTCCATATCCAAAGTTCTGGGTGAATTCGAAGCGTTTGAATTTTGTCGCTTGAGAGGGACTTTTATGCTTTCTTGAAAGATAGGAGCAAGAACTCAGTTTCAAATAGTATCCAAAAGTATCTATGTTGTACACTGTACTCGTCACTATTGAAACTACGGTTTATCTCTTTGAAATCGGAGCAAAGAAAAGTTGCGACGTCGCTCGCGTCGTTCGCGTTGCCGCACTTCGTTGCAACTGTTCTTCGATTTATCCTTATATTTCGTAAACAAATATCGGCGGTAGCTCTACAGAGTCATTCAAAAAGTAAGAGCTTGGACCTTTGACTTAGTTACTTCGGACTTAAAGTAAACCTCCTGCAAACTTCAGAAAGAACCTTCAAAGCAGCGTGCTGCACCATGTGCAGCACCGGTCCGAAACGTGTTAATTAGGTCACGAAGCCCCGCGTTCCAGCCGCCAATCCACTTGAATCAAAGGGTTTCTATAAACAGCAACCAGTTTTTTTGTCATTTTATACCATGTACGTCCACTTAAAAAAAATTCGGTTGCACATTTACGAGGGAGGGAGCGCCTCTTCTCGGTCCGCCACTGATATGTTCTATAAATATATAGTAGCTTTCTAGTGAAACATGGTAAATCCAACGTTCGTTGTACTCATTAGTATAATTCTCAGTACGTGGTGCACGGGACGGAGTCAAGATGGAGTGATCTCTAGAGGAGTCGGTCTGCCGCGTAGTTTAGTAGATAGAAGAAGACTGCAATCTACTATCAGACTGCCGAAGAAGACGACATAGTGGGAAGGAAGAGTCAATAAAGAACTTAACAACCTGTTTTGACGTAAAAAATACAGAAGGCTCTACAAAAAGATCTACCCATGTATAGGATAGCATTGAATCGTGTTGTCGAAAAAAACCTTATTTACAAGGGCTTGTGATGATTGTCTTGATACTACACACAACATTATTGTGACTTATAATGTAAACGACCCTAGTGATACACTTGTTGCTGCTCAATTTTCAATAGGCATTTGATCAACACTAAAGGGAAATAAGACGCCGAGGAATTCTGGTATGGCAATTTGTGATGAACCTCTGTCATGAATCGCATTTTTGGGGTGATTTGCATCAGTTGTGCACAGAACAAATCAGCGAAGTATTCACACACGGACTATTCAACATAAATCGCAACAAAACTGTCACCTTTATATAATAACTTACTTATTACAATGATACCTTCTCTTCACAGTTCGAAAACTCGGCATAAAGTTCAGAGGCAAAAACAACATTCCTAACACATAACGACACAAAGGTGAAGAAACGCTGCCGGGTGTTGCATGAGAAGCTTCATCGAAACAGGTGGCTTCCAACTTTTCTAGAGCGATGAGATGGCACATCGCTTACTTATGCGTTCTGTTAAGAAGCCTGAGAGTCACAGTGAAACCAAATATAGAAAGAAAACAAGAAACCCATACATCATAACACATGCGTGGAAACTATCGCTGCTATATCGCATGTGCAGAGCAAAAACTCGTGATAAGGGCCAACAAAACAGGTATAGCTATATAAGCGACAACTCGCACGGCCACCTATCCGATGGCAACCTTGCCGGTATCTTCCTTGCCAGTGCCACTCAATTCCTGATACTCTACTTGTTCACCCCGTGGGGGTGTGGGCCGATCCCTGCAGCAGTGCAACGCTGGGCCGACCCGTGATGAGGTGCGAGCAAGCCCGCAACCTCATCCGGTTCCAAAAATCAAATAACCTTAACGAGACTCATTCGAGACTCTATCGAAGGTTAATTCGATAAGAACAGAAACTAAACTTTGATCTTAGCCAAAAGGCCGAGAAGCGATACCTGCCATGGCTCTCACTAGCGCCACCTCAGCCAGTGAGTCGGACTCATTGCGGGTCAGCTAGCGCTCACTGTCTCACCTGAGGAGAGCCGAAACAGGTGAGCACACCTGTGCCAGCGAAAATGAAGGCATAATGTAGATATGCATCGCTGTCCTAGTCACAAACATAGATTTCATAACCTTTTCTTTCTAGTTAGACATACTGTGAGCAAAAGTCTCTGAGAATAGTTAAGTTTAATTTCTGAGGAAAGAAGTGAACGGAGTCGGTTTTGATTTATTCTTCTCAAATCCCAACTTGTGCACACTCAATCTGCATGATTCTTGTTTACTTGGGAAGAGGAGGTCGCAAACTTATGTTTACATGTTGCTAGCGCTATCTTTTTTGCTTTCATCACTGCAACCTTTTTCTAAAGGAAAGCACGCACTTTACGTTTAGATACTATATTTCCTTACTCCAATAGATCTCAAGCAAGCAAATTGATCCTATGCAATATTTTTCAAAAAAGGTTGCGATGTAATCTATAAATAGTAGCTCTTGGAACAACCTAATACATAATTGTTGAACGATATTCTTCTCGAGATGTCCCAAGAACTCTGAAATGAATTCTAGAGCTTTCGTACTCGAATAGCTGCGAGAAACTAAGGTGATATTTAGGTATGACTCCCTTTTCGCTCGCACAGGTGTGTTCACCTGTCTCGGCTCTCCTCGAGACAGTGAGCGCTAGCTGACCGTCGACGAGTCCGACTCACTGGCTGAGGTGGCGCTAGTGAGAGCCATGGCAGGTATCGCTTCTCGGCCTTTTGGCTAAGATCAAAGTTTAGTTTCTGTTCTTATCGAATTAACCTTCGATAGAGTCTCGAATGAGTCTCGTTAAGGTTATTTAATTTTTGGAACCGCATGAGGTTGCGGGATTGCTCGCACCTCATCACGGGTCGGCCCAGCGTTGCACTGCTGCAGGGGTCGGCCCACACCCCCACGGGGGTGAACAAATGCGATGGCAGCTTAGGAACACCCATGAAGGCGAAAAACGAAAAAATGGCAAGGCGTTCTGGGAGAAGCACTCTGATCCATCGGTCACTAGTACACTACTTGCTTTTATCAAGAGTTGAGTTTTTTGAGAGAGAGTTTGTTCGAGAAATTTACGCCATTAGGGTCCATATTTGAAGTCACCATGGAAAGGAAAGCCTGGATATGACAAAAACGGTCGTCTTCGATGACGCCTCAGAAATCCATGCCAAAATCTGTAGCATTTGCGTTCTCGTCGATGGGTTAAATAATGGACTTTTTAGATTTTATCAACCGAAAATAGAAAAATGGGATTAGAATGCTTTTTTTAGTCCGAAAATGTCGCCGACGCTTGCGTACAAAGCTGCCTGCGTTGAGCACTAAAGCTGATAATTTATCTTCTCTAAAGGCGCAACATTTTCATTGAAATCGGGTTTCACAAACCTTCAAAGCGAAGAAAATACTAGGGCGATTGAACAACTTCGACCTTTATACGCTGAATCATCTTGTAGTTTTGATAAAAGCTATTCATTACTTACAGTGAAAAACCTCCTTTCATAAGCTAAACTTAGCAAGCCGTTATCACACATCACCTCATTCATCTACGTAAAAAAGTACATGCGGTAATATTAGCAACATGATGCATTCTTCCTATTCGTTAAATTACGAATTTACTATCTCTCATTGAATGGATATTACTGTACTCGATCGATTTCCGTAATCATTGAGATTTTTATTCGAACTATTAGCTTGTATCATCCACGATATAGAAGCTATCAAATAATTAGAGATAAAAAAGTACAACTTTGCTTGGTGTTTTTTTTTCAAAGAAGAGTTCAGGAAATTCAGCTTGAGCACATTTTGTCAATCCAGTTACCATTTGAAGCAGGCCTGATATTGCATCCATTTGGACCTCCAAAATAGCAGCGTCCCAGAAAATTTAGGATTTTTGAACTTCTCTGTGTAATTGTTCAAGAGGCTTTAACTAAGCCATCGTTCAAGATGTATGATCTATTCGTGATAGAAAAATTCAAAATCCGTCTCCAAGTTGATTTACCAGGAAAGGAAGGCTAGTCGAAGTGACCTTTTGAAATGATGGGCAGGGCTCGGCACGAGGTGGCTAGATGAAAATGGAAAAAACGAAGTCCCCCTTGACTTCTGGGAATTTTTACGAAGTCCCCTTTGACTCTCAACCAAATTTCCTCTAAAAACCTGAAAAATTCCCCAAAATCCCCCAAAAAATGAAACGTCGACTAAAAAAAAAGGTCGCCGTCGCCAATTTTCCCTGTCTCTTCGGTCACAAAAACGAAACCCCCTTTGCTTTTCGTCCCAAAAAACGATGCCAGCTGGCTTACAAGCCACTAGTGCCGAGCCGTGATGATGGGTACTGGATACTGCCTTGGAGGGTATAAAACGCTGATTTCAAAACTTCTTCCTTGTTTGCTACGGGTTTTTGGGCGAGAAGCTACGTAGGTTTTTATGAGCAAAAATTTGCATGTGTAACTAGGGGGTGATATCAGTCGTAACATTTTTTCTATGGCTCGAATGATTTTCGGGTTACTCCGTGCAACAATAATTCTTAATTAGACATATCCACTTGAATCTGCCACTTCGGAACGGTAGAAGAAGTCAACCACTGATTTTACACTGATCATGCGTTGAATTTTTTGCGCGTGAAACCTTCAAAACTCTTTGCTCAGAATCCCGCAGCAGATAATCAGTATTTACATAATAGATTTGGATCCAATGGAATTTGGATCAAATTTGGCACACACAATGTGTAGAGTGGGGCGTATGTTAACAAGCCGTTTTGTTCGGGACAAACAGACTGTCTCTATCGATTTATTGATTTTTTGCAGTTTCTGCTTAAAAATTTTATGTTCGCCTTAAGGATAGGAGGAATCGAGTCAATCAAAGTTGGCAAAAAAATGTATGGGGTGTGGCTTGTATAGATATATTTGAAATCAGCGCTTCGTACTTCAAGTTACTATACATCTCATAGAGAAAAGCCACTTCGACTAATCTAATCTTTCTAATCTTTCTTCCATGGTTAAAGTTACTAGCTACAGCGCTGTAAGTGTTTTCGGGCGTTAAATCAGCGTCCTGGAGTACGATAGAGTTTACGGTCTGGGCGAAAGCAAAGGTGGATTTTACCGCCACAAATGATAACAAGAACTGCCGCTATGGCAGTGGCTTAGCTAGAGCTTGCCAACCAGTTTTCGACTGAGAAATCCAGTTATCGAGATTTGGTCACCGTCTTTGAGCCAATATTTTCTTCAGAGTAGATAATTGGGATTTTGAGAGGATCCCTGTTCTTAGATAATTTTTGTTTACTTCATCGGCTTGCATTACTTTACGTTGTTGAGAATAATATGCCAAGAAACTCTACCATAAATAGAGAATTACATCTGTTTTTTAATCGCATAGAAACATCAGATAAAAATAAGTATGTCGAGTTTCTGCCGGATCCCTCGCTTATTTTCGCATGAGGGGTGATAAACTCTATCTCGAATTTCCAAAGCATAGTTGATGATTGAGCTTCTGCTAACTAGCAAGAGCTCAAAGACCACTTGCATATGCACACACATGGTGTGTAAACGGGTTCTGCAAATGCGCGTATCGATCTCAGCGCTCAGCATTCAGCTGCTATACGTTAGCTTCATAAGATACCCTTTTTCAAATGCCCATACCAGAGCAAAAACAGCAAAAAAATGTTTATACTAACCAAAGTTTATTTTCAAATCATACTGTTTGTGTAACATACAAGCAGTACTCTATTTTACTATGCATGTCAAAAATTCTCTTCAGACACTTGTCGACTTAAAAAATCCGGAAATCTTAACTGTGTGTGGAAACTTCCAGTCATCTCAAATTTCTCTCATTTAGAAAAAGAAGTTATGAAGTCATAATTGAACTGAACGCAGAGTTTTTGGACCCTCTAGCAACATAGAGAGTAGAATTCAAGCAATTACGAGCTAAATGCTTTTCTTAATTATTTTGTATCACCGTATATCATCAAGATTTTTGCTTCAGGCACTATGAA